TGCATGCTGAATTTTTGTCTAAGAAAATCTTAATGCACTATAATCTTAAAATCAAGAATATCTTGAAAGTTATCAGTAGGTAAGGTACGTTGCGTTTGTCCTTAAATAACATGTTTTAATTTTTGGATCGTGGGATGTGCTCATATTTTTATTCTTTGCTGAAGGTAGTAAAATACGCATCTTTTCTGCAAAATCCAAAAACATTGCATTTTCTCAAAACCTGTTTTGCAATACTTTGATTCTCAGAAGAAAATTTTGATTTAGAAAATGAAAGCACTAAGTCTCTTCTTTATTTTGATATATGAAATGGGGAAAAGGGTGGAAGTTTATTAATTAATATAAGGACAGGGCCATTTTATGCATAAAGTGGCTCTACCTCTTTCGTAATTCATTCAACATTTGAATTCGTCGATCTGCTCAACAACGAAATCCTCGAAAATTGGTGCTCAGCGAATATTGATGAAACCACAGTATTTGAGGGTTTGTATCTGTGCTTACCTGCTTCTGAGATTACCTGGGGTCTGCGTTTTACGCTTCATCCCCCTAGTAGTTTTCTTGTCATCTGTGAAATTAATAGCCGAACATCTGGTGGCAACTTTAATACCAAATAGTTCTTCAATGTCTGAAAATTTTTCAGCACCACTTTCTCTTAAGAGACAACATGTCCTCATTATCGGACGCCATTTCCGAAAAAAAAAAACAACAGCAAAGCTTAAGAAAATTTCAACAACCCAAAACTGACCTGACTTACAAAAACCGAAGTGTAAAATGAATGTAGCTTTTTACAGCATAAACCCCCCAAACAAACTTGAACAATGTTCTAAGTTGAACAATTTTTTAATACTCGAACATCACACTTGTGTTACAGGTGACTACATGTCGCTCGCTCAAAGAAAAAGAATGGTTTGGCACGTGGAGTTGTGTCTTATATACTACAGGTACCCAGGAAATACATGTACACACGTCATACAGATATTTTTAACTTCTTAAAAAATGAGGTTCGCTTCGCTGGCTCGAAGGAAAATGCTATATCACATCTACTAATGTATTTGGAACCTTTTATTTTTCGGTGTTCTGCAAATTATGAAACCCGATGAGTTCAGAGTAGATCTGACAGTGGCTCTGGCGAGAGTTAGCGAGACTTCAGCGAGAAAAGGTAAATTATATTATTCACGGAAATGTGGCTAGGAAGTGACTAGCACGTGGAGACATGGTAAACAGAAAAGTTATGTTGCGTTTTAGTTTTCACCATCCTATAATATCATTTTGTAGAAATGCACTTCAATCGATCTTTCTTGAATTCATTCAAGTTTAAATTTAAAGTACTAGTATTCTCTATGATACAATTTATTTTGCATGGGAACCGGGACTATATTTTTTGGCGTCAGATTAGCAAATGAGGCACCAATATGACTTAAACTGACAAATCAGATGAATGAAAAATGCATTATGGGTTACTACAAATACTACTGGAATTTTACGCTTGATAAATTCCTTTATTGTACTATCGGTGAATACAATTGTCAGGTGGATTCCCTGGCCAGCACACGTGATCACGAGTATAGTTATGTAAAAAATGTTGTTTCCATTTAAATGCATATCAGAAGCTACTCGTTTTCCTTACCCTTGAAGTGTTGGTGATCTGAACTTGACACAAACCACCTTTACATTTTATAAAACATATTTTTCTCCAGTTAATAACAAATTAAAAACGCTCGTGATATCTTTCATAGTTTCTACTGTTTGCATTTTGTTCATAAGAACATTTTTTTTATTTTGCACTCCACTGACATGATCATAAATTGACCTGAACCACGTGTTCGAAGTAACATTTAAACATGTGTTTGGCGTAAACGTTGCTATTCTTTCAACGATTGGTCAGTTGCTCTTGGTAAGATCCTCTGTGCGCATTAATAGCAATAACCATATAGGGCAAACAAAAGTTTATCAGTGTACATGTAGATGATATTGTAAACACATTTTTACCAGCGTATCAGTAACTAGTGAGCTGTAATTTTTTCAGTAAACTATAATTAGATGTATTGATTGTTATTTACCCATCCCCCCACTTAAGTCATCCATTTCTGTTGAAAATCATGAAAGTCCTTCAGAAAGGTCTGGAAACATATTTTTCACAGGACATATTTTCAGAAGATACAGACTATAGCAATTTCCCGTTTACTGCCAATTTTATTTATAAAACCGGTTCCAACCTATAAACGTTGAATTGGTAAACCTAAGCCACGTGTCTTGAATTTAAATCACATTAGTAGGGGTGTATATGATACCCTTTGCAGAGGCGAAAGGCGATATGTAATAGAATGTCCCCTGAACATGAATTTTGTCTCGAATTATGCTATAAATCAAGTTATCTTTCTTTTCCAACCTGTTTTTCTAAGTGTATAAGCAACTTAAAGTTTTGTACTGGTATGAAAAGGGGTTAAAGGTGCATGGACACAGTTTCGGCCAAAAATTTTCATTCCATTTTTTATGCTTTCAAATACTTAACTAAGGTATTCCTAATGATCAACCAAATTCTAAATTTCAGTTGTCAAGATACAAGACAGATATAGCGCTTCCAACCTTTGTTATGTAAACAAGGCATGTACCATGTTTTTGTTTACATATGTTAATATACTTATATATGTTCGTCCAAAGTAGACTTTTTAAAGAAAGAAGCTATTTCTTAATACAATTAGACATTTTCTAATGTTTTATCGAATCTCGTTTCGTTATGATATGATAGTTCCTATATGTAAACAAAAACAAGGCACGAGCCTTGTTTATATCTTGAAGAATTCCAAGTTCTGTATCTCTTTTGTAAATCAACAAAAAATGTTCAAATTTTACTGATCTTAAGAATTGCCTTAGTTAGGGATTGTAAACATTAAAATTGAAACTGTGTCTATGCCCCTATAAAGATGTACATTGTAGGCACATCACCCAAAATATGTTTTCATTCTTTATAAAAGGCTCATAAATTGTAAAATTTAGATGTAAACCAAATACCGAGGCAATGACATTGACGATAACACTTCTTCATTCTAAGAAATTTACACACACATTGTAGACAAGAGGTATGGAAAAGATTCAAAGACATAGAAAGCGAATACCGGTATAATACAAGTTTATCAAACAGTACAAAATATGTTAAGATTCAAATAAAGTATTTCCATCCATGATTTGTTTAACAATCAACAAAAAGGAGTATTCCACTTAAGTATAGTGGCGTGGTCCCTTTTTACACCCTTGGTTTACTGGATATATAGTAGCAATGGATATTTTGTTTGATTTCATTTTGTATAACAAAGTATTTCTAATAAAATCATAATGATTTCATAATGAATTATTGATGATATCAAAAAGTACAAGCCGATTTTTAACATCCATCGCGCTAAAAAATGCCGGAACTTTTCCCCTCCATCAGACTACTTTTTTCTTTACATGTAAATGGGCGGAGACATTTATATTAGATACTATAAAAAGAATATCCGTGATATATAATATTTTTCTTTCAAAGACTAATTATATGTTCAAGATTCACAATCAACAACAAATTTATATTTCTATTCACAAAACTCTAGCAATATGAATGAACCACAATAACATGATTAACCAAACAAGTCCATATGCTGACCGATATAAGATCTGAGTACATTTCAACAGAGTGCTTGCTTGCACGTTTACTGTGGGTATTTACCTGTAACGACACAAATCCACGTGGCTTGTTGTGATTCGAAACAGGTCATAAAGAGGTTAATCGCATGTAAATGAAGACAGCGACGAGGTTCAAAATCACAATACTTTTAATTAGAAAACATAGAGCACAAACTTGTTCAACAAAGATATTTTTACTAAACCTTTAAAAATATAATATATACAATATATGTCAAACTCGACTCTGAACAAATCTGTGCTCGGTGTTTACGAAAGCTTGAAAGTGTGTACCTGTCAGCGATTTCTTTTGATATTCATGAAAATCAAAGGACCCCAACTTCAAAACGTAGCTTCGAATGCTGTGTATATCTATTATTTGACATTTTTAGATGAAGATTCAAATAATAAAGACATAAGTTATTAATAACATTTAATCTTTAAAGCCTTTGATAAATGTTCGAAATTTGAGGAGTAACCGGGGACCACAGATAAGCCTTAAATGAGACTTGTCCTTTGCATAATATTTTTGTCAACACTGAACAGTTTGTTGTTGAACAAAATATTTAAATCTCTCCATTTACTCTGTATGTGATTAAATTTTAGGTAATGTACTCTCTTTAATTTCTTTTAGTGTGCTTTCAATTTAAAAACACCATGGGAATAAAATTTATCTCCATTTATAATAAGAGCATATTGAGTGCAAATTCTTTGTTCTCTTTCTCCCACTTTCATTCGGGAGTTCACGAGTAGTAAAATAAACACTTTATTTTCGCGAGATTTTCAAGCTTTTTTTGGTACTGTAACTTCTAATAATTAGCGAAAAATTAATGATGATCGCGTAATTTCGCGAGATGCATTAAACGCGAAATTGATTTACTCGCTTTTGTTTTTATGGTGCCAATTTTCATCTTAACTCTTCAAATAAATCGTTCATTCGCGAATAACTATTCTCGCGATTTGACGCTAAAGACTTACTTCTCGATAATAAGTACTCGCAAAAAATATGGAATTTACAGTATTTATAAGCGATAGACCTTAGATTTGTTGTATATTGATATAAAATACACAAGGGTGTAATTTTTGCGAGCAGAAAAAAATTGCGTAATTACACGAAAATAGATTCCCCAAGAGTAGAAAGTTATTTACACTTCAAAGTAAAATGAATAGCCCCTGATAAAATAGAAAGAATGAAAATGTCTGTTTTGCATCGGAAGACTTAAAATGTTTCTTACTTTATGAATCAATTACAAATGACATACATCACAGCTAGTTTATTTTTAAAAAAAATGCTCTAATATGAAAATTGAAAAAAAGCTATAGATCATTTTAAAATAATGGTATAAATACAATTTTTTGTATATATATATTTACTCGACACTTTTTTTTCTCATTTTTCTGAACAAATGACACACAGTAATTCCGCTCCATCCTTGTAGGGCGGGCATTTCGAACTGCTGCAGGTGTGGCATGACAAGTGGCCGCATCTAACTTCAGTTGGATAGAACAAATAACCGCCCGAGCCCGGTCCTATCCTTCCCAGAGCCTCAGGTTCAGCGTCCATACAGGTGAAGGTGGAGGAAGAGGGCTGACGGTATTTTCCAGACATCAGATATCCCCAGTATTCTACTTTCCATCCCTCATAACAAGTTTTTCTTGCTTTGGTGTGTAATGAAATATGAAAAAGACATTCTACATTATTCAAAGTGTTTATAATATTCATTAGTTGTCTAGGTTTGAAATCAATTTCCAAATTTATTTTTTGGATCGATAATTAAAAGAAAAAAAAAGATGTTTTATTTGTCCATCATCAAAAAGAATAGATGCAAAAACTAATTAACTTAGCTAATTTATAGAGGTTACAGGGCATTACTGTGATATAGAAAAATAATAAAAAAAAACCCAAACTTTCAATTATGTAGTAGAAGAAAAAGAAATCTAAAGATTTCCCAAGTGTTTAATCTAATAGAATTGCACAAAAACATAACTAATCACGATTTTAAGAATACCAGAAAACACCTGTAATAGCACTGCTCTTTTACTATGGGTTTTAAATATAATGCAAATATTTGAGTTCATAACACTTTCCTTATTTTCACCTTCAAACGACTGTCATACACATTGAAATTGTTTTACTAAAAAAATCAGTTCGTATAAAAATTAAGATTTTATAATGCTTTTATAATGCTTATTAGACTATATTCAATGAAAACCCCATAACTGAATTCCATACAGACACCTTTCAAAAATAAAATATTTCTTCGATTCTGTATTTATCTGTTCAAATTCAAAGATTTTTTTTTTAATTAAAACTCCAAAAATAAAATTGTTTAGTTTTAAAAAGTTTTTCAAAATTTGCATATCATAATGGGAATTCTGTGTCCTTTCATTTGAATTTTCCCAGAATCACTTGTTCCCTCTTTTTAAGTCGATGAATTAAGCTTCTTAAAATACATTATAGCTCGTTTCGAACAATCACAAGGTAGCCATATACATGTATGATAAAAGGCATTCTCGTGTCTAATTAAAATGAATGCATAAATGGTTGTTTTCATATGTTTCTGGAACATGTATCATTGAATTATTAGTATGATATAGAATCATCGCACATGTGTCATGTTCATTAAAAACCATTGGTGTGAGATTTCAAAATATTTCAAAAAAGCTGCATAGGTTAGTTTTACAGTAAGATTTAGTAGCGGCAACAAATAATATACAAAATAGGGTCTAAAACTTTCATAGAAACTTTAAAAATTTAAATCTGACCTAGGGGCCATAAAACTTAGATGAGCTCATTTCAGATATCAGTCTCTCTTTTCTACTATATATTCCTCTGGAAAAATTGAGACTGGATCAAAAGTGAGCTCGCCTGGCCCACAAACCTAAATAATGCTAATCGAATAACTGCTGTTATAACTGGACAATTCTACTTTTATGTCTCTTAGTGCAACCATTTAAAACCATATACTGTGAATGTATTATATTTAGCGTGTACGATATTTAGCAGAAAGTGATGTTTAAACAAATTAACGTAGATTTGATTTAGCGCATTTCTTGATATTCTTATTCATGTATCATTGTTTAAAATATTTCGCGATGTACTTGAATTAGCGGATGTATCTGTCCGCCAAAAGTGCTAAAAAGATTGCACCACCAAATGTAATACGCTTACAGTATCTATACCTGGAATAACTAAGACGGACTTGTCGTTTTGAGTCCTACAGACCACGCACGGCACTTCACCGTTGTAGAGATAAGCCTTAGGCATTATGACATCTTTGAAAAGTTGGTATTCAGCTCCATATACCAGTCCTCTGGAGTAGTCTGACTCATTGTTATGGCACCATCCCCACTCTGGATTTGTCGGTAAACAGAGCGGTTCAACTGCACCTCCTTGGTGCTGGCGATGAGTTCCTCCACCATAACCTAAAGGACGAAGTAATCCTTTATTTTTTATTAAAGGAATGAATTTCATAGCTACTCAGGTTATATACTGTGTAACCTGGGGCAGTTAACACTTGAAAAAGTGTCGCTGTTAAATTCATTCCTTACCACTATTACGTTTAGAAATTAGATAGTTTCTTACTTAAAATTACTTTCAAATTGTATATAATATGGTATTTTATAAAGAATTTCAAGTGGATTTACACATTTTTGACGTGAGGCATGGGCAATACGATAATAACTAATTCGTTATCCAATCAAACGAAGCGTTACAGCCAAATTTTTATAAGGAATGTATTAATGGACCCCAGTTTTAAATTAAGTTACTGTGGTGTAAGCAACTCAGGGTATACAATGTAAAATAATTTTTCTATCCAACCAAAAAGCTTGTTACAATCAGGATTAAATTATGAAGAAATGAATTATATATCATTTAATTACCTTTGTATAACTTCTCTCTCAATGCCTTTTCTGAATTTAATATCAATTATTTGTTAAACTTATAAAAAATGTTACTAAACTTTCATTTTCTTAACATTTTCCCAAGAGTACCTGTACAGTTTGAATTACCTTATCTACCCAACATCCAAACACCATTTCTTGTCAAGCTTAAAATCTATTAAACAAGTAAAAAATATTCTTTTTTTGATTTAAAACCAAAAACTGCAGGTATTTATGAGATATAGTGTGATATTGGTGACTCTCAATCACGTTCTTTACAGTCCGGATAAAATTTTTGTCGATAATCTTCTTCCCCTCCTCCCGTATAGCTTTTTTACAGAGGTCTAACGGTCTAAAATTTCAATTTGCTTTTTGTGGACGAATGCCACGAATACCCTAGTTTAATACATGCTTTATTATTCATATTTTGGATCTATGTTGGCGATATCTCGAGTATTATACATAATTTAACAAAAGTGCGGTGCGCCGTCAATTCAGAAGACGTCATTTGCACAGTCGTTTTCACGGGAATCGCATAAGAGAAAAATCACAATATTTCTGTTAGTACTTCAAATATCACGTTAGAAATCTAAGTGCATAATAATAGATTAATTTAAAGATACATTTGAGAAAATTGTCGAAAAATATCGCGAATTATAGAGAATTAATGAGTTAGATTTTGGATTCCGCATCCTTTTGCATCAAATTTTTTGTCTTGCTCCGTACCTCTCCATCAGCGATATCAACATACGGATAATTTTAGTAGAATGTTTTTAATATACAGAAATGTTGCCCAAAATTTATTGGAATCTTTAAGATACATATTTCTGTGAAATTTCATAACTATATGACGTCTGTAAGAGTAAATAATACCACAGTCCGCGTAATTTTTGAACGGCCCTCGTACAAAGGATTTCAGTTTTTTTTATCGTCAACTTTGGCGTTTGTAACGTCATTCAACTATCGATACGCAAAGCTAGTACATGGTCTAAGTTATTTAATTTTTTAACCGAGTTACGTAGGCTTCTGACATATACATGTAAAAGTGGTCACAGTTTTCAACTATGAACTGTTTTGAAAACTATGGTAACAAATTTTTGCCCTTTACATGCCAGATTAATTATTTAAACATGCAACTTAATTATGTAGACATACAACTTGTTAATGCAAAATTGAAAAATAATTGTGTTGACTTACAATTTATCAGTCAGCTAGGAAACGTATTTAAAATATTGGTAAATTTACTTGCTAACGGCAGTATCTGACATCATAGCTGCAAGATACAATAACATTCTATAGAAATGCTTTTCAATTCTTTCGAAAACGGTTTATCTTACGGGGCAGATTAAGGTTGCGGACTTTGGGAAATTTTTACCTATCGTATTTAGTAACTGAATAGATTAAGACAGCTGTCTGTATCCATTTTTTTTACAAACAGTAGCTTCTACCTGATCAGTATATGCTTTGGACAATTTTTGTCAATAGTAACCATTACCTGAATAAATAATGGTTGCTGTCGGTGGACACGTCGTGCGGCCCCATCGGGTGTAAACAGTTCCCCCAGATGAGAAACACTGACCATCGTGAAAAGTTATCACTACCACGATAAGGGCAACAGAGAAATTGGACATCATCTTAAATTGTTAAAAAATGACTAATAAGACAAATTATTGAAAAAGAACATAGTCTGAAAATTGTTTGATTTTATATATATTCAATATTTAAAAGTCCCAACCCCCAGAAGTAAAAAAATTAACACCCAATAAAATTGTTTGTTGAAAAGGCACATTTTAGAGGATAATATTTTAAGATAAATTGTGAGACATATCTTCTATTTTGAATAAATACATCTAATTTACCTTTAACTCGCTGCACTTCGAAGTCCTCAAGACTAGACAAAGATTACATGCATTTTCTTTTATATTAAAAGAACTACCCAGTTTCTTTTACACCCCTAATTTTAAAACGTGACATATTGACAGTTAAAAAAATGCAAGTATAGAAACTGAAATTACAATATTTTTGATTTTGAATCACTAATCAATTTGAACACTAAATATATAAAGATTTTTTTAGAATATACATGGGTATACGTGTAATCAAAAATTATACTTTCAATGACCATAAAAACTTAATAAAAGAAAATAAATGCAAAACAACACACCTTTTCGAAAAGCACATTTACATAGAAGAAAAACAAACGATCCATTAAGTAAAAAAACATATATAAATGCAAAAGAATGGCATAAAAATATCAAAATGAACTTAATTTTGCAAAATTATGTAAATTATGCTAATTTTATGCAAATGTGTGTAAATGAATTTAATTTTATGCAAATGAATTTAATTTTATGTTAATTTTGTGTCAATTTAGGAAATTTAATGCAAAATTATGCAAATATGCTCAATATATGGATATCTATTTCGTCAACGTTTTGTAAATTAATGCATTTATATATTTGTTTTTTTTTATGCAAAGTTCTTACAAATCATATTGCATGCAGTTTTAGTTTAATAAATATTTGAAAGTAAAAAGAAAGACAAAAAGCGAAGATAACGAAAGTGATTGATCAAACAAATATTACATAACTTATGCAAAACTTAGAATGCGAAAAATAACCTACCTTTGCAAATTAAATAAACATAAATTTATCTTCAAACGCTTGCATTGCCTCAAAAAAACTTTTCGCGAATATTGATAATAATGATTAGTGATTAATGTTTTTCAAATCTGTGATTATTATTCTTAATAAATAACTTCATTGTGTGGAAAAAATAAAAAAAAAAATTTGCAAAGTTTCAAAAACTCTTAAAAACTAATTTCCATTATTTTTCAAATAATAGCAATATGCTAAAAAATTGATACAAATTTTCATTGATTGAATTTTATTTTAAAAAAGAGTATTACCCCGCTTAATTCAATTTTTAAAAATATATGAAATTAAATATTTTTGCTCAAAATTAAAAAAAAATGATTTTAATTTTTTTTTATACATGTATTATGTGCTTTAAAAAAATCAGTGCTCTAGAATTAATCTTTGCTTTTAATTTCTTTGAATTCTCAAGCTATTTATTATTTAGAAACTCTTTTATAAGCAGTTTTTTGCATACTTAACACTTTTGAATTTTTAGCAGTTTAGCATTTAATTCTTAACTAAAACATTGCAATCTAAAACTAATTTAACGAGAAAATAAAGCACCGAAAACTCAATTTTCCGTATTGCGTTTTAAGAAAATTTACTATTCAGAAAATTAAAATTCTGTACTCATTTTTATCTGTTGACACTTCAAAATTTACTTCTTTCTTAAAGTTGATTAATTCAACATTTAAAAGCATTACCTTCATTCCAATAACATCATGTTATTTCGCTCAATCGACCATAGTAAATTTTCACAAATTGATTAATATATTATTCAGCGATTGAATATATGATTTCAGTGAAATCAATACTACTTTGCATATTAAAGAAGAAATCCCAGCAATACCCCGATAATACTGCCCAATCACAAATTACTCTTTGCCAGCGAGGCATTTTTAGTCAGCAACAACACGTGAAGTCAGGCAGTACCTGTTTTCTTTTCCCCAAGAAGGATTCTTCATATTTGTTGTATTTTGATCAGATGAAGTTAATACCTATTTTTAAGGCATAGAATTTGTTCAGCTCTACTACTATACTAACATCAGGCTTGGACCTGGGCGTAATGGTAATGTATAATGGTAATGGAATGTAATCATTACATGTTATCACAGTAATGGGATGTTATATGAAATAGACCATTTTTTTTATTACATGTACAGGTAATTAATGTAATGGATTACTTGAAAAATGTCAGTTAAACCATCACTTTTTAGTTACATTTCAAATTATATGTTTTTTTTTTATCTTAATTTTAATCGACTTTTGTTATTGAATATATCTGTAAAAAAAAATAAATTTATTTATTCTAACATTAGATTCCTAAAGGTCGGTATAATATTTGAATATTTGTATAGTAATTATAGTATAATACAATTTCTACTATAATACTTTCTTGTACTCACGCTAATACATATCTTATAAGATTGTAAATAATCTACATATTCCCACGTGTTTCCCCCCGCTATATTTCTCTCTCTGTCAAAATAAAAAAGATGGAAGATGAGGTTCTGAAAGCAGTATCTATCATCATACTACTACTATTGTTTGAAATATTTCAGTTCTCCTCCACTTCCCATAAAACCACGAGTTTTTCGATGTCTTTACTTGTAAAGTCGTCATTATTATTTACCATATGCTTTTTAGTAATGATATAAATAGGATGACTCCCAATGTGAGTACATTTGCTTGGTTGAAAGTGAAAGGTAAGTTAAGACTTGTATCAAGAAATAGAGCATTGCCCTATTCTTAATACAGTTTTACAAGACTCGAAAAATCGTATGATACGTTGTATTGAGAGTGTATACACAGTAAGATTTTGTATTATAATACAAATATTAATCTTACCGTGTTTACCGTCCTTAACAAACCTACCACATAGAAAGTGTCAACGGTGGAGAGTTATTTACATGGAAAATTGTTTAAAAAATGAATTCTATACACCAATCAGACTATAACCTACCTGTAATGTTTTTCTTGTGTTCTCTACCTGCACTCCATTCCCAGTAAGTCAACACAGGTAGACAGACCTGTATTTTTTGTGTATGATGGCTGAGCGGGAAGACCCCTCCCGGAAAAAAATCCTAGATCCGCGTCTGACTTATCTGAATATTCATTGATTGGTCTGTAGTGTTATTGAGATTCAAGTATTCCTGCGGTATTTCATAAATATGCAAAGTAGTTTTGAATTTATTGAAATCAAACATCCAGTCGATGATAATTATGGTAAATTTAAGCATTTTAAGCACGCTCTAAACAATGTGGCAAGCTGGTATCTGTAAAGTGCGAAATGAAATAGAAACCAAAGGAAACGAGCTGAAACGAAACGAAATCTTCCGAAACGAAACGAAATCTACCGAAACTTAACGAAGTCCTAACGAAATGTTACAAAACAAATCAATTTTTTTTAAATCAAGGTAGATAATGATATATGTGTAAATGCATGTAGACTCTACTTCATATAAAACTTATACAGTTCAAGAACTTATTAATATAAAATTTAAACGCCGATAAATTATGCTCACTTCTCTAGTGAACGTATCTACATGTCTGAATTGCTGTCAGCAGCAAATACTGTAAACTAACAATTATTCGCGTCATCTTCGCCATTTATACGTTTAAAATCAATCCGCGACGATGAATTTTTGAGAAGGAGGAAACATACTGAGCAAAATAATTGGTTCGCGGGGATTAATATTCGCGAGTTAGAGTCGGTCGCGAAACTCGCGAATATTTCTCGCACGCGAATAAAAGTTGGTTTACTGTAACTTTTAATCGCGTGCAAGAAATTTTCGCGAAGTTCGCGAGAGACTCGTCATCGCGTATATTTCTCGCCGCGAACCGATTGATCGCGAAAATTAATTGTCGCGAACTAGTTTATCCCTAGTAAATCGCGAAAAAAAGTCGTCGCGAATAAAAGTTGGTTTACAGTATACTACAGTATGCGCGAGTATACTATGCCTGTATAATATCAATATGTGTAGCAATTTCTATAACATCTTTATCAAATTGATTTGTTACATGTAAGGGCTCGTTCATGTACGGGTTGAAATAAAGTTTCTGTACTGTTGGATAGCGAATGTAGGATAAAACCAGAGACTTTCGAGTATTCCATTCTGAGGTCTCTGGTTTTATCATTCTCTTATAACCCCAACCGGAATCTTGTGTATTCCATCTACGGTCTTATTTTGTATCGAGGTCATTTCGAGGAATAAATGAGTGGTTTACAATAAAGAGGCTTGACCAAAGACATTTATATCCCACCTCAATAATTTTGCCGATGTATACTATTTATAGAAAACTAACTATAATGTTTTTGCCCCTTCAATAAAAATCCCAGATGCCGCCCGCCTTCTTTCTTTTTTTTTCTTTTTTATAGCTTGTCAAGGAATTTAGGTAGTTGGTAGTGCCCCTCCTCCCAAACTGAAAATGTTTGGCTGTGCCCCCAATTTGATATTGCTTCCTACGAGCAAGTTTTTCCCCATTAGCGGAAAAACAGTTACTGCACATTTGAGATAGTATTTAAGGTGGTCGACTGTGGTTTTCATTGCTCAATATTTCGTGCATCATAGTAAAATGAAGCGTATTTACTGTTTTTGTGTTTTTTTTTTTTGCTTAATTGATAAAATTAAAAATTCAGGAATTATTTGTTTGAAAATGTAATTACAATTTCATATAACTGATTTTTAACCGATTTTGCAATTGATATGTAGATTGACGTTGTTACAGAGTCTTTTTTGACGTAACGATAATCTAGAGCTCTTAAAGAAAGTGGTAATAACAAGAGGCCCATGGGCCACATCGCTCACCTGAGCACCAAGGGTAGGACTAGTATAAAATGGCTTTTTATTGTAAAGTTTAAATCCAAAAGTAGTCCCATGACGAATCATGGATTTGCTATTTTTTAGAAAATGATTGAGAAGAAGATTTTCAAAGAATTTTTCTATATATTTCTATGTAAAACTTTGGTCGGCCATTTTGGCCCCGCCCTACCCCCGGGGGTCATGATTTGAACAAACTTGAATCTACACTACCTGAACATGCTTCCATATAAATATGATGAATAATGGCTTTGTCATTCTTGAGAAGAAGATTATTAAAGAAATTTCCTATATATCTCTATGTAAAACCTTGGTCGGCCATTTTGGCCCCGCCCTACCCCCGGGGGTCATGATTTGAACAAATTTGAATCTACACTACCTGAGCATGCTTCCATATAAATATGATGAATTATGGCTTTGTCATTCTTGAGAAGAAGATTTTTAAAGAATTTTCCTATATATTTCTATGTAAAACATTGGTCGGCCATTTTGGCCCCGCCCTACCCCCGGGGGTCATGATTTGAACAAACTTGAATCTACACTACCTGAGCATGCTTCCATATAAATATGATGAATTATGGCTTTGTCATTCTTGAGAAGAAGATTTTTAAAGAATTTTCCTATATATTTCTATGTAAAACTTTGGTCGGCCATTTTGGCCCCGCCCTACCCCCGGGGGTCATGATTTGAACAAACATGAATCTACACTACCTGAGCATGTTTCCATATAAATATGATGAATAATGGCTTTGTCATTCTTGAGAAGAAGATTTTTAAAGAATTTTCCTATATATTTCTATGTAAAACATTGGTCGGCCATTTTGGCCCCGCCCTACCCCCGGGGGTCATGATTTGAACAAACTTGAATCTACACTACCTGAGCATGCTTCCAAATAAATATGATGAATTATGGCTTTGTCATTCTTGAGATGAAGATTTTTAAAGAATTTTCCTATATATTTCTATGTAAAACTTTGGTCGGCCATTTTGGCCCCGCCCTACCCCCGGGGGTCATGATTTGAACAAATTTGAATCTACACTACCTGAGCATGCTTCCATATAAATATGATGAATTATGGCTTTGTCATTCTTGAGAAGAAGATTTTTAAAGAATGTTCCTATATATTTCTATGTAAAACTTTGGTCGGCCATTTTGGCCCCGCCCTTATCCGGGGGGTCATGATTTGAACAAACTTGAATATACACTACATGAGCATGCTCCCATATAAATATGATGAATTATGGCTTTGTCATTCTTGAGAAGAAGATTTTTAAAGAATTTTCATATATATTTCTATGTAAAACTTTGGTCGGCCATGTTGGCCCCGCCCTACCCCCGGGGGTCATGATTTGAACAAACTTGAATCTACACTACCTGAGGATGTTTCCCCATAAGTTTCATCTTTCCTGGCACAGTGGTTCTTGAGAAGAAGATTTTTAAAATATACCACTAAATTTTCATTAATTCCCAATTATCTCCCCTTGAATAAGGGCGTGGCCCTTCATTTGAACAAACTTGAATCCCCTTCACGCAAGGATACTTTGTGGCAAGTTTGGTTGAAATTGGCCCAGCGGTTCTTGAGAAGAAGTCGAAAATGTGAAAAGTTTACAGACAGACAGACGGACAGACGGACAGACAGACGGACAGACGGACGCCGGACAAAATGTGATCAGAAAAGCTCACTTGAGCCTTCGGCTCAGGTGAGCTAAAAATGTTATTTAAGAAAAAGTAATAAATACACTATTAAGATTTAAAACATAGAGATTGGAGATTATTTCCATTATTTGTATTATGTTTTCATATAAATCCTTTGCACCTGTCATATTTTGTAGTACTCGACAAAAAAAAAAAAAAAAAAAAACAGGAAAATTCGTTAATTTTTGGCATTTTGAGATGCCTCCTCTGGTAACAAGACGGTAGAATTTTGTGTTTCTTACATATAGTGTACAATATAGTATTAGTCATCAAATATTATAATTTGAACAAAAACTCTATTGTAGTATTTGTTTCATTTACTTTGAAATGCGAAACATTTTCCTTTAGATTCATAATTATACGTGAGGAATTAATTTCCGCGTTATTGCGCAAAAAATGTCACTCGCGAAATAATATAACTCTCGCGATTTGACGTTAAAGAGTCAATTCGCGATAAAAAGTACTCGCAAAAATAAGGAATCTACAGTATGTAATCCTATAGTAAATATACCTGCATTTTGAGACGGTACCTTAAAAATACCTGGACGGTAGATTTTCCCCAAACTTGGCATGTTCACTGTAGTTAATATAAGTTATATATGCCATAAAAATGAAGAGTTTCGCTATTGTAGTTTTCACATAATAAAACCCCACTGGACCCCCTTAAAAATCTTTTATCATTTTCTAAATGTAAAAGCTGTCTTTATTCAAGACCCTTTTGTTAATTATCTTAGTAATAATAAGGTAAAGCTGACCAAACACAAGTATGTTAAAAAAAATCATACCTTAATAAGGGCGATGAGTACTCTTGTTTTCTACAATATTGTTGCATTATATTTTATTGGAAAAAACTCCTTTTAAATTAATAATGGATATGACTACTCTTGATTACAATATTTTTGCATACATTTAAAAAAAACTACTTTTGATAATGGAAATGACTACTGCTGTTTTCTACAATATTGTTGCATATATTTAATAAAAAATCAAACGAATATGATTATAAGGAAGCTCTAATCACTGCACACTAAAGAGTTCTATTTATAGGGTAGTTTTATGCAGAAAGTGTGATCTGCCCTTAGAATTAAGATACAGTAGAGAAAATGGTTATTTATCGTTAATTACACGTTTTGTAATATATTAAAATAATCTTCGTGTTATATTAGAATAGGAATAAGTAAATGAAATCATTTTTTCCAGTTATTTTCCTTATGTAAGTAAACAACAGTGATTTCTGCTCACAAATAGTCTGTTGTCTTTGAACATTTTTCCTGATGAAATATGTCAGGTACCCTTTTATAAAAAATAACTAAATAGTCCAAGTTTGCACACCTTTGTGTGATACATGTATATATATATTTTTCTATACTTTTTAATCAGTGTTTAGAGCTTCCCTAAGTAAAGATATTAAACAAATCGTATGGTTATTATTAGCAAGGTTGTCTCTTTTGATTCTTTAAAATCAAGTTA